AGCGAGCGCACTCCAACCCCATCTTCAAAAAAAAAATAACAAAATTCCTGGGATGTTTTTTGGCTCGTCTGGTTTTGCTGGATGGACCCCCCGCCGTCCGTCTGGCCCGGTCCGTCTGAGCCGGATGTCGGCCTAACCCAGAAATTTCTATTATTTTATTTTATTGTTGTGCAAGGAACATGAGTGTGAACAAAGTACAGATATCCAAATTGAAAATCACCCTCAAGTCCATGTAGTCAAGCAAAGAGCAGATAGCACATTGGAACCAAGAAACCATCCATTTTGAGAACGATACAACATAATCGAGAGTCAATGTCCAAGCCCGAAGGGCCACACCAACATAAGAACCCAATGTAGCTCTCTCTTCGAATGGCGTCGGGCGCCCTATCTACTCTACAGCCTATCCCTACAACTACAGCATGACGCGACCAGGACGACTTGAAGACCAGCGTGCTTGACGCCAACACCAATGTCGACCTCCTCTCGCACACTAGGTAAGTACTCACGCGGCCCCCTCTTCTCTTCCCCGACTCCCACTCATTGTCTCCTCCTTCCAAAGACCACCTTCGCCCTCACCTCCTTTTGCGCCCTCCTGCAGCCCGGCTATGGCTGCGAGCGCCTTGCACCCCAGCTGCGCCCTGCCGCTTAGCTCCAGCCAACTTTCTCTCAGCCAGAGCGTAGCGCAAGCACTCACGCTCCAATGCAGCAGCGTGCCCGCAATGCCTGCATTGGCCAAGATCCCTGCCCACTCGCACATTCTGCCTATATGCCTTGCTGCGTGTGGGCGGCCTCCCTCGAGCCTGCGCCTGGGCCTAGGCCCAACACAGATGGGGCCCAGGTAGTGCAGTTGCGCACCTTATGCCAGGGCCATCGTCCAGATTCAGACCCCGTTCCGGTTTCCCATTGGTTCGCTCGGCCTCTACGACACAATGCTGCTTTTCCATAGGCCAGCATCCAATGTGTGATGTGTCGGCCTCCCAGACTGGTGCCCAGGGCTCAACCAACTGAGCCCCTCGGCTTAACTGCCTTTGCAAGAGTCTGGGCCACGATGCACTCCAACCAACTGGCGTGCGGCAACTGTCTGATACCCACTTCGTGAAATGCTGAAAGGAAGGCCTCTTGTAGATATTCTGGCCTTCCCCTTTAACATCCTTTCATATTCTGCTACCACTTGAGGAGTTGTGTCAATCAGTTCCTCTCTGGTGAACCACCGATCTTCTTTCGGATCCGTATGATGCCTGAATCTGACACAATACTCTCTCTTGGGTTTTGGAGGTCTCCCTCGACCCAGTGGCTTTGGACCAGGCATGTCTCTGTGATCCACAATGTCGTCGATGTTCTGGCCATCCATGGTTGGGGGCAGCATTGACCTCCTTCAAGGAAATTGATCTGTCTCAGCGAAAGATGCAAGCTTTAAGGCATGAAAGACAGGGTAAGTGCGCAAGTGTCCAGGGATTCGGATAACGTACGAGGGACCATCCAAATTAGTACCTACTACATCCAATACTTCCCAAGGACCAAAATATTGTGGCATTAGTTTTCTAGAGATGTCGAACTCCTGTCCTAGCTCACTAGCCTTTACCCAGACACGTTCCCCTACTTGAAATGTGGACTGTCGACCATGTTTGTTCTCAAAAGCAATCATTGCCTCCTAAGATTTCCTAATGTGCTCGACAACTTGCTGCAGCAACTTCTCATAATGGACACCATATTCCATGGTTCCAGGGGTTGCAGCAGGTCAGTTTTCTGGCAGGAGGAAGTCTAGAGCAGATCTAGGCTTCCATCCCAAGTGCATATGATTTGGACTGACGCCAGTAGCGCTGTGCACGGCGTTGTTGTACAGGCTGGCGATGAGAGGCAAGTTCTCATCCTAGTCATCCTGGCGGGGCTTTATGTAATGCCTCAGCAGATGCTGCATATCTCATCTGTTCGGCCTGTCCGTTGGCTTCGAGATGATTCCCTGAAGTCATCTGAAGCTGACTGCCCATCTGTTCAACAGTCTTCTTCCACAACTCACTTGTAAAGCGAACATCTCTATCACTAACGATGCTCTTAGGCAGCCCAAAGTCACGCACCAAGTTGTCCATAAACAACTTGATGACGTGCTCGATCCTTGCTGTTTCCGGCATAGTTATTAGTCTAACATACTTGGTAAACCTATCAACTATGACGAAGATGTGCCTCTTCCCACTCCTGCTGGTCACCAGCGTGTCCATGAAGTCCTTGGAGACACTCTGTCCCGGACCAGCGAGAATGGGCAAAGGCTTCAACAATCCAAGCGGTGCTTGAGTGCGTGGTTTGTCTCGCTGACAGACTTGGCAAGTCTGTACATACTTCCTAGCATCGTCTAGCATGTTGGGCCACCAGAATCGTTGTATCAGATTAACGCTTGTCTTCTTGTAGCCAAAGTGCCCTGTTGCGTCGTGACATTCCCCTAAAAATAAACTACGCAAACGTTCACTAGATGGATTAACTAACCTTTTGAACCCGGCCTTTTCAAGAAAGAGTAGCCCGTCCACCATCACAAACTCATCTTCTGTGGCCTTATCTTTCGCCTGCAGTTTGCGTATGATGTCCATCGTGACAGGGTCTTCCTGATAGGCTCCCACCAGCGATTGAGTTACTTCTTCAGATACGCCAAATTCGGAAACTAGCACCCCTAGGTAGTCTGCCCTACGTGACAGCGCATCCGCAACCTTGTTGTACTCTCCCTTCAGATACTCCAGCTTGAAGTCATACTAATCTATGACCTGAATCCAACGCTTGAGTGCATCAGAAAGAGTCGGTTGAGTCTTGATCTATTTGAGGGTCAGATGGTCAGTTCTCAAATAGGAAAACCGCCCCAACAGAAAGTGCCTCCAATGGATAAGTTTCTTATAGAGGGCATAGAGTTCCCTTTCGTAGGTGGACTTCGCCAGTTTCTTTGATGGCATTTCTTGCTCATATACTCAATCGGTCTCAACTTCTTCCCATCCTCCTGAGCCAGCACTGCGCCAATGTCGTATTGGCTTGCGTCACTGGTCACAATGAAAGGCTTCGGAGGATCACCATGAGAACCTCATGATTCATGAGGGCATGCTTCAATTGCTTGAAAGCAGCCTCACACTCATTGCTCCACTCCCACGGTGTGTCAAGTCGAGTGAGATCAGTCAAAGGAGAGGCAATTGTAGAGTAATTCTTCACAAAGTTCCTATAGTAACCGCACATTCCTAAGAAAGATCTGACCTCAGTAATAGTCCGAGGTCGTGGCCAGTCCCTTATACTAGCCACCTTTGCATCTTCCGGCCTAATCCCCGCCGCAGATACTTCATGACCCAAGTACAAGATCTTAGTGGGTCCGAACTCGCATTTCTCTAAGTTGACCTTATACTTGTGCTACCATAGGAGTGAGAGAACAATCTCCAAATGTTGTGCATGTTCCTCGACAGACTTACTGAAGACAAGAATATCGTTGAGGTACACGACGACAAACTTGTCCAAGTAGTCATGGCAGATTCTATTCATGGCGTGTTGGAATGTACCCGGCGCATTTCAAAGGCCAAAGGGGATCACCACAAACTCGTACAGACCGTACCTGGTCCTCAGGTCTTGTGGCAATCTGATGGTAGCCGGATTTTAAATCTATCTTGGTATAGTACTTACATCCCTGCACCCTATCCAATAGGTCGTCAATGCGTGGTAGAGGCTTAGCGTTCTTCACAGTG